GAAAAAAAAAAAAAAAAAAAAAAAAAAAAAAAAAAAAAGACAAGTTCTCGAAGGAGAAAGATAAGGACATACCTGGCTAGAGGAATAGACAGTAAAAAATTTTCATAGAGACAATGATTGCATGATCTGGGGACTCCCAAGTTCCGAAGAAACCCAATATACAATCGATTATATAAATCATGAAGTACTTGACCATCCGTCAATGAAAGCAGAATTTCTGTTATTTTAGAATTACAGAATTGTCTAAAAGATGTAGGGACTTTGAAAAACAAGAGAAAAACGAGACATCACGAAGTTACAAAATGAAACTGCATTGAACAAGTACGTCACCAGGCATAGTTATCTTTGGACATTTCTTCCTAATTATAAGGAAACCTCAATGTTGTCCATTTTTGTCAAAATAATTTGAAGGTGCCCAGTGGAGGTGCTCATGTACAACAGATTTGGATAGACCCAAGTATCCACACTATTTTCGTCAACTCCAATCGGCAATTCCCCTTTCAGATCTACTCCTTTCTTTCTAGCATATTCAGAAGTTTTAGATACTATCATCATCATCATCATAATTACCATGACACGACCCGTCCCCAATCACCTTAATGGATCCGACATATGTCATGCACCGATGGTAGATATCAGCTAAGTGCCGGACCCACCACCAACGCAACCTTGACTTGTCTAACTGTGAGGAAATTTTAAAGAATTTTGATAGAATCTCTTCAAATATATGTACTAAAACCACCTGATCCATAATCAATTTCCTCAAATCAATACATATAATATAAAACAAGTACACCAGTGCCTCAAAATCCAAACTATTCAAAATAAAATACTGACAATTTGATATTTACTTGTTACCGACAATCCTCAAATGTACTAAATATACCATATAGTGATCTCATGACAACCTTTTCTAACATAAACTACATGTAACCCAAGAAACAGGTGCTACCTAATCTGATAAAGTAGACCATACAACTAATGACGTGTGGCTCAATTCAAAGGATCGACAGGCTCCAATACTGTTCAACTCGGCTGCTATCTGATAAGGAAAAAGGGTAACAAAATATGAGTTTGTAACTTAGTGAGTGGATATATTGAAAATAAGCATGCTTTTCCATTTATGCATATTTTCTGAAAATTCTAACTCTATTAAATCTTCAAGAAATGCTTAAATCTAGCAGCACTTTTAAACTACGCATGATTGCATTATAAAATTATTTGTTCTTAATTCTAGACAAGTAACTGCAAAATATAACGAATATAAAGAATCTGATGTTCATGAAAATCTATGGAATATTGTTATTGCTCAATATTATAAGCTGGAAGCTTTATTCTTAAAACTGAATAAATTGAACTCTATAATTTGAAATCCATAAGCTGAACTGTAAACGGGGAAATGTAAGCTGTAGGATAATAATCCCTTATATACTTAAAATTCACATCAAAATATATCCCATGTAAACATCTACTAATGATCTGAAAGCTATGAATCATATGCACATAAACCGTCTGATCAATACTCTGTACATGGCCGTAGCCCCTCAGTGTCCAAGATGGAAACATAACCATTCTTATACACGACTGTAGCCCCTCAATGTCTAATAGATGCCTTTATCCACGGTCGTAGCCCCTTAGTGGATAAAAGTTACCTTACACACAGCTGTAGCCCCTCAATGTATAGTAGTTAAATACATGACTCTAGTATACGGTCATAGCCCCTCAGTGCACTAGAGTAAGATAATCACATCAATTATTTTCTAATAACTTCAAAACAATCACACTCATCTAGTAATTCTCGAAAATAAGGCATTTCATGTAATAAATATGCTTCTATAAAATAAAAATAAAAATAAAATCTTCTTTTTGAAAACGTAGATTCTCTACTCACAGATCTATGGATAGCAATCTAGTCAAATTGACCAGCATTGTCGAGCTTTCACGTCATCACCTGAAATATGATGTAAAATAACTAATTTAACAACTCCCATACTAAATATCTCATAACATTTAATTATGAAATATTAGAACTTGACTTTTCGGCACTTGAATATATTCTTTAGTTTCCTTCACAATTAAAACAAATTCTACCTTCTAGCCTTTCACTAATCTTTAAATTATCATAATTACGCACATCCCAAACATACAAACAATTCTTTGTTCTAATCTAGTGAAACTTGAATTTCAACTTGCACCAATCTAATTTACATCTTATTCCATAGTTCAATTCTTTCAAGTTAATAAATCATCGCCATAATCATGTTCACAATTAATCCTTACACAAGTATCCAATTTAAAATCTAGGGTTTTCCAAAAATTGGTATTCTTACCTTAATGAAATTGGAGATTAAAGAATCAACAAACTTGAGCTCCAATTTGTACTCTTATCCTCTTAAATCTGAAATTTATGCCAGAAGTTAAATTTAACATAGAATCATTCCTTTACCTCTTGAAGAAAATATAGAGAAAGGAGAATGGATACAAGCTCGAACTACCTATTTTCCTTCCTTTTTCTCCTCCTCTTTTTCCCTTCTCTTCTTCTTTTTCTTCCTTTCTCTTCTCTTTTCTTTCTTCTTTTCCTCCTCTGCCGTTTCCAGCCTCTCTGCCCGGTTTGGTATGAAAAATAATGGCAATTGGGTTCAAATGATCAAATTAGTGGGGTTTTGCAAGGTAAGTCCATCATCTTTCATATAATATAACATTTAGTGATACTAAATTTCATATAATAAAGTATTAAATCCTTAACTTCCAAATTTAGAAAAATAAATTCAAACTAAAAATTTTATTCATCTTAAACCCTCAAAATATTTTTTTATCATAAAATAACCCCAATAAAATAACCATTGATTTTTCTACCTAAAAGAATTCGGTTGTAACATACCATGTGTTTATATGTCACGGAAAAAGATTAAACGCAACAAGTAAGGAAAGTAAATTATATTGTAGTGCAAGTTGTCTTTTCAATCAAGCTTCTGAAGGTGAAAATACGGAAAGAGAATTGTTAGCACCTAACATGTTGATGTCAAAAATATATGTAGACCTTTCGAATTAGAGATCATAATCCCATAAGATTATTTGATAGAGAAATATAAGAACCGCTGAGCTGGAAAAAAAAAGCGAGAAAATACCAAGAAATTTTAAAAAAATGCATATACTATGTGAGAAAATAGGAAATCGAACCCATTGGCTGTGATTAGGGTTTTAAAGAAGTCACGTAGAATGTAAAAGGCTGCATAGGGCCTCAACCAATCCTACCAACAATAAAAGATACTACAAAATAAGTACATTTAAGAACTATCTGCAATAAAGCTTATCATGTAGTAAAATCTTCTCCTTCTTACATGTTGAAAATATAGTCACAATTTTTTGACCATAAAACATTACTTAACAAATAAGAAAAATACATACATGCATGCAAGTGGTGATGGTGGCAAAATTGGAGTTTCCAACTAATGATAGCCACATTTTTTTGACCAAATGGATAAGGAGTTGATTTCTTAATTGTTAAGAAAGACTCCATGCATGCATACAAGGGAGGTTGAGAAATTCAAGTTTTCTTTCTCCGTTTACTTGACAAGCCAAATGTGTAGAGAATTCCAACAAATGAAGGTGGTAGAACTTTGACTCTTCCAAGCGCTTATGGAGGTCAAAAATCTCTATAAATATGGGCAAGAGTTTGAGAGAAAGTATGCCATATGGAGAGGAAAAATCAAGAGAGGAAATTGTAAGGTAGAGAGAAGAGTAGAGAGAAAATTTATTGTTTTTCTCCTAAGTTTTTTTCCTACTTGTTTTCTCCTAATTACAAGAGAGATTGATTGTTGTTATCTCCTTGTATTTAGAGAGTGTGTTGTAATTCTCCTACTATAGTGAAATCCTCATATACTTGCCCGTCTACCTAAATTAGGTGAACCACATAAATACCTGTGTCCATTTTTAGCTGTATTTTCTCAATTCCATTATTTGTCAGTCAAAGTCGATCCGCGCGTTTTCTCCCCAACATTACAGATAAATAGCGGTGGTTTTATTTAAAAACTCCAATGGAAGAAAACTATAAATATTGAAATCACTATATCAATATTTGCGTCAAAATATAATAACCTGGTTCTGTGGGAAAAAGGTTCTAGAAGGAAGTTGAACTTAGCATCGCTTTCTTCTGTTGAGAATATATTTTCTTGGTAACAGTAAGTTTTGCGGCAATGGAGGCCTCATAATCCACATCTTACAAGGATAAAGGGAAAACATAATGCAGTTCATGATCAGAATAAGGAGTCATAATTGTTCTATTCCATAGAATTTCAAATACGTGGCCATTGCGAAAGAAAAAAGACATGAAGGTCACATGGGAACTAATGCATATTAAATTCACATCCGATGACCAACACTAAAGTTGGAAAAATAGAATTTTGGTTTCGAGGGCAATTTAAAATGTGAGGTATGATTGACCAAGCATTTCAAAACATGCTGGCAAACGACCTAAATTAAATATTGTGAACAGGTTGCTAGCAGGGGCGGATCCATTTGAAGCCGAGTGGGGTCGGCCGCCCCCACTTGATTTTCAAATTTTTGATTTTTCTTGAGGTTTTTTCCTATGATTTTTTGGTTTTGCCCCACTAAAATTTTCATCCTGCGTCTGCCCCTAGTTGCTAGTAACTCTTCACAAGTATATGTAGAGTCCTCATACACACTAATATGATCACTTCTTCAAGTATCTTACAGGTAGCAACTATGTGAAATTCAAGTTGCAGTTGTATAAAAATGGAAGAGAAAGATGTTATGCATTAAATTGGTGATGCTACATTGTTAAGTTGAGTGTTAACAGTGATACTTATGAAGGATGGAGTGTATTTGAAAAATTAAATTTCATAAAGGAGCAAGAAACGTCATGTTGAAGACAAATTTTCTTTATCAAGTCTCTTCAGGCATCATCAACATTATAAATTAGATTGATTCAAATGGTATGAATACCTTGCCATCGAGCTAAATCTGACAAGAAATATCTCTTAAAATCCAGGGTCGGTTCTGGGGCGAGGCAAGTGAGGCCCATGCCTCAGGCCCAAGCCCTGGAGTTGGTAAAATTCTTGTGGAAACAGGTTCTCTTCTTATTGGATGATTCAGAAATTGGGAAGTTACTCAGGAGCCCTTCACGACCATTGTTCATAGCTACAGAATTTGGAAACTTTCAGTTCATTAGGGAGCTTCTTCTCTCCTGTCCTGATCTCATTTGGAAAGTTGATGAGCAAAGTCGAAGCATTTTTGACATTGCAGTTATTCATCGCCAAGAAAAAATCTTCAAACTTCTTTATGACATAGGAGGATACAAAGATTTGATCACATCCTATAAGAACCCCAGCAATTGTAACATGTTGCACTTGGCTGCAAACTTGGCTCCTTCAAACAGACTTAATATTGTCTCTGGTGCAGCACTTCAAATGCAACGGGAGTTGCTGTGGTTTAAGGTGACTTTCAAATTGTATTCAAACTTTATTCTTTCTCGTTTAAGTTAATTAAAATTGCTTTCCATGTGTTTTCACTCTTCTTCTTATTAAAATTCAAAGGAAGTTGAGAAGAATATGCTGCCATTATACAAGGAAATGAAAGACTCAGAAGGTAGAACACCCCAAATGCTATTTACTCAGGAACACAAGGGATTAGTCGAGAGTGGGGAGAAATGGATGAAGGATACAGCATCATCCTGCATGCTTGTTGCAACACTTATTACTACAGTAATGTTTGCCGCAATTTTTACAGTACCAGGAGGCAACAACAATGATACAGGAACCCCTATGTTCCTTAAGGACAAGTCATTTATAATTTTCTCCATGTCAGATGCACTAGCTCTGTTCTCCTCTGTGACATCTATATTGATGTTCTTATCTATCCTCACCTCGCGTTATGCTGAAGAAGATTTCCTTGAGTCTTTGCCGAAGAGGCTGATTATTGGCCTAACAACACTTTTCTTTTCGATAGCATCAATGCTACTTGCTTTTAGTGCAAGCTTTTTCATTGTGGTTGGACATCAACTGGCTTGGATTATTATCCCGATTGCTCTCACTGCTTGTGTTCCAGTTACGCTATTTGCGTTCTTACAGTTTCCTTTGTTGGCTGATGTTATGCATTCTACTTATGGATCAGGAATATTTTCCATGGAAAGGAACGAAAGGCTTTATTAGGCTATTTATGGCCTGACTACTCTATTATGAGATAACAGAATAAAGCAAAGGACATTTCCTGTAATTGCACTTTTGACTAGTGCAAATTTTTTTACCATTTGTGATTATTGTTTCAGCTTTTTGTACTTTTTTGGGTTTTGTGAAGGGGTTTTTATGTTATTGTATTCTTTTTTTTCCTTTTTTATTTTTATTTTTTTGAAGAATTCATCTAAAAGGATTGAAGAAATTACCATAAATTGATATGACAGAGATTTTTCCTGCAATTTCTTTGTAAATTAGTTGGAATAGCTTTAGGCATTTGATTATAGAGGCTCGTTTTACAAAATAAGTTAAATCTTGTGGCAGAATTTTCAAATAACATCGGTTTTGGACATTGTTAGATGCGTTTGTGAGCTTCTAAGAGTCAAGGAAATAGTTTGGTGGAGGTTTGATAGTGGGGAGGACTAGGTTGGATCACTGAGCCTTGATGGCTGCCCAATCGGATGGCAGCATGTAGGTATTCTGCATGCCAGTGGGGACGGCTGCCCCAAGCTATTGGGCAGCTGCTAATGACATCTGAAACCCGCCCTACGCTTGTGGGCAATGTCTATGATTCTCCCTAGAACAAGTTCTTTGGCACCCGTTTCTCCAGTTTTTTGATGTATTTTCACCATAATTTTCTAAAGTTGTCTCTTGTGAATGATTATAACTCTTGGGAAGAGTAGTTTAACAACCTATAAATAAGATTTTTAATTTCATATACGAGACACATGGAAATATATGATAGAGTTTTCCTTCATCTTCCACCTTAAAACTATATTTTTTGTGCATAGTTAAACTCTTCTTTTTCAAAGTTTGTCCATGTTTTGTAATTTGAAAATACAGTACATGACCCTCTATATTAGCTTCTTCTCTCCTTAGTGTTTGGGCTTGTCTTCATTAGGCAAAATGCATACACCATATTCAGATTCTACTGTATTCTAGAGGTATCTTTTCTTACCAGTGTACATCATCAAGAGCAATTATTGCCTAAAGAAAAAAGCACTGCCTTGTAATCCACCACGGAGCTATTATTTCAAGTCTTTGTGAAACATCTTCATGAAATGGGTTTGGTTTGATCTTCTACAAAGGTTCGTAACAGTTTCTTCAACTTGTTTCTTTGGCTTAAGAGTTCAACAAAATTTTCTACAAATTCATCTATTTCTTGTCCCGACCATTACGAATGTAGCACCAACAATCTTAAGATAATATTCCAAGTTTTCAATGGCACCACCATTGTCTTCAATAGGAGATTTCATTTAGATTGTGTCAAGTTGGAGCTGTTCGATAGATGATATTTCTCACTAGTAAATTGAATCATTGATTTCAAAAATTAAAACGCAGGGAAATTTAAATGGATGTGATGATATTTTTTCAGAGGAGAAAATATTGGAGACCTACTATAGAGATTTCATGTTGACAACTATCTCAGTGCTGGTGATTATGTAACATGCAGTAATGGATTTCATCCTATGACTTGATGATGTCATAGCACCTTATATGAGGTTCTTTATACTTCGATGATGTTGGATGTTGCCCTTTCAAGAGTCACTAACAAGACATCATTCAGCTTTGACAAGAATCATATAAAGGTTATGAATGATCAATAGATGATTTCTCACTTTTTGATAGTAAAGATTATCATTACGTTTATCTGCTTATGTTGATATCAAAATCTTGGGCTAAGGTGAGTTCATAAGTCAAAAATAGTTTTGACTTATGAGTGAGATGAAAGATATGATAGATTAAATCGAGGTTGACACATCTCTATATCTCATAGGTTATCAGATTATAATGATGAAAGGATAATAGTTACTACATGACATTTTTTTGTTGCGTGTATTGCCCCAATAAATTTTTATATGTCAATCAGGGATGACAAATATAAGTTGATTAGTCTTTGTAAGTTAACGCTAAATTGAAAGGAGAATTTTCAATTTATCCTACTTTGTTATATAAGAATAATGATTCGCATCGTCTAGTATAGTGATCGGGAACCTAATGGGTTATTGATGTGAAACCATGTAACAATTGAAGTTACGAAACCTACACGAGGTTGATTCAAACCCAAGAAAGCTAAGAAACTAAAGTTTTGAGTTTGATTAAAAAATATTGAACTAAGTAACCAATAATCGCTAACAATTTGTTGACTCCTTGATCACTATAATTCAAGAACTTTGCCTCGGTTGTTTGATTCCCATAAGAATCAAATTTTGATAAATTCGTAATTTGTTTAATGAAGAACCAGGATTTTGAAAGCAAAATAGCTCACCAAATAATCTCTCATTTGATATGAACAATGAATGTTTTTATATGAAATAATGAGTCTTATGTATAGAGAACCCATAAAACCTAGTTAAAACTGGAAATAAAGTCTAAAAAGATTACTAAGATATCAAAAAATAGAGTTTTAATAGTTTTTAGAAAATTCGCGTGTATCCATTTTACTCTATGTGACCACATGGTGTAACTATATACGATCGCATAGAAGACCCAATTTTCCCCAGTCTGCTTTCTGCATATCATCATGCAGTTGCATGGGTCCTATCACTTTGTGATCGCACAGTGTAGTCAGCCAGGTCTTTCATTTACGGCTTGAATCAAGTAGGTCCAGTGTGTTTCAGCTTTCCAAGCCCAACAAGCAATTCATCCCTTCGCTTGCAATGATAAATGTTTTGTTCATTGTAGCTTGTACAAGTAATTCCATCACTTCTTTGACCCGCTTTGCTCGTGACCGAGTCATCGGAACTTCTTCGACAATCGATGGATCTTTTCCCGAGCTTATCTTCGTTCCATGGATCAAATCAGTTATACAAAAGGCGAGAATTAGAAGAGTGAAATTAAGAATTAATTATATTGACGAATATGGACACTTTTGCAAGTAATTAATTGGAACGATTTATTAATAGGTCAACATATAGACTTTGTTTACTAGATGGATCAGGTGTATTTAAACATCTAATAAATAATTAGGGTTAGAGAGAAAATAAATTTATTTCTATTCTTGCTAGTATAAGAAAACAAAATCCTAATCCTATCATTCTTGTTATTTTCGTGTGGATTACCACTAGAGGTTGAATGCTTGAACAACTATGGTGTACAGAGATCGTGGTAGATCAAGTTCAAAGTCACATTGAAGCTTGAGAATTCATCAAAGGTAACATTCTAATCACAATTTCTATCTGAACTTAACGATGATCATTGATGGAAATCAAAAATTATTTTAAAATTTCACTGTGCATGTATAACTAAATTCCAAGCGATTAGAGACAAGTAAATTCCCCAAAACCTAATCTTCAAAACATACAACATTAGAGATCAAAACACAAATTCTCTTGAGATTTCAACACAAAATTCAAGTTATTGGTTATTGAGTAAGGAGATGAAGAAGTTGATCTAAAAATTCATTGAAGAAATTTGAGGAATGAAAATTGATCTCTTTACTTTCTTCTCATCTTTATAAACTTTGGGCGAAGTATTATGAACAAAATTGTGTTTTTACAATTCAATATGTTAGGATACAAACCTTTCACTAGGACGATGATGTAAACCATAATTTGATGTTTTATTTGAAAATTATTTCTTTTTATTTCAATTCATATGTTTGTTAATTATGTGCTAAGTTCTTAATACATTCGAAGGGTTGAACACTGTTCAAATGTATGACTTATTTTGCTTCTGAGAGGTTCAATTTAGGTTCCAGCACATGTTAGTATATAACATAGAGTGTGATACGTAGAGAAATATACTCCTATGTTTTGCACAAACTTAATGAAATGATCGTAAAGTTGAATTATTTTTATATATCACATTGATAAATATATTTTAGAGTCATAAATGAAAATAGGTTTAACCTTACCATCGAGATGTCATTAAACAAATTAGGATCATGAATTGTAAAAATTGGCATGAGTTGGAGAATTAAAATGAATTTTTTGGTGGAGTCGGATTTCTAATGTCATTCATGTTTGAATTTTTCTCTAAAATAATTTACTTGTGTTTTTCTTATTTACGTAGAATTGATAAACACAAATTTGTTTATAAAACAACTCAAAACTTTGTGTATTTCTAATAGGGACAGGGTTAATTGAATGAATTTGTTATACCTATAAGATTATCATTTCGTATAGGGCCTTCTTATTGGATCTAGATGAGGCCCATTAGAGTTTGATCGAAGTTAACGAAGGCCCAAGTGGCAGCTAAGTAAAAGCCCTAAACTGAGGCTCTCCAATGGCCAATCGAAGTGCCTTCAAAGATACCCACTGAGGCCACAAGAGGTCTAGCTGAAGTGCCTGGGAGTACACATTGTTATGCCTATAAAGTTACGTCATGATGGGCTTGGACTTAGGCCACATTGCATAACCTTCTTGGCCCGTTCATATATATATGTGTGTGTGTGTGTGCATGAATCCATTACAATCAAAGGTATGAAGTTTTCTAAACCTTAGCCAAATCCTTCTCTCCCAAATCTTGCACTCTCTTTATATATTTTGTTTGACGATTGACTTGATGTTGCAGTGCAAACGGTCGCCGAACCTTTTTCTCAATCGGCGGCCTTTGCCTCCTAATGGGGTGTTTTGTGTGCAAGAGTGGAAGGAATGAGGCTGGGGATCTGTTGACGACATTTTTTGGAGTTCATAGATAGGCGCCATCTGTGGTAAACCGGTATGTTAACCATGTACAAAAAGGTCACTAGAAATTGAAATTTTTTTGGGTAGTTTGTTCTACTAAAAAGGAGCAAAGACAGTAATCAAGATGATGATTCGGAAAGTTTCTTCTATCAAAAAAATAGCCAAGTCAATCATAAAAAATGGAAGAAAAGTGATACTTGAATTAGTTTCCATATTGAATAATCAGCCACCATAAGGATAAACATACGGAGAAAAGAGTTGTTAGCAAGCTAAAACAATATTTTCTTGCATCTTGAATCTTCAGCACTGCAACCATTACTGTAAAATAGACATTCAAGCTAGGGTGAAGTGGCATAATGTGGTGACCAAGAATGATTAAGGATAATGGAACCTTCACAATAAAATCTCTTTCCCACCACATACAGTTACAAAAACTAAATATTCTCAAAAATCCACCTTGTTGCCGTACAAATCATTCAGCAAATTCTACCACCAAAATTCCAAAATTCAA